ATAAATATTCAGCCAAAAAAAAAACAGCCCAGCTCTTCTGTATTTCAAACAAAAAGTATCCAATCTTATTTTCAAGTTTCTTCCTTGTATGGTTTGTTATTAAGCATCATCCCATTTTTTTAAATGTTTGTGTTTGGAATTATTCTAGAGCAAAGTTAGACATCGAATGTTTTTTACCTGAATTATTAAGGACACGCATCTCCCACCTTTCTAAGATTTTCCAAGATCCTCATTTATAAAATGGGTGGTTCTGTGTTTCTTAATTTTCTACAGAATCTTAAATTGCTGGTAGTGTCTCACGCTAGTACCTAGCAGAAACAATCCCTAGAACTGAGACAGAAGGTGGTAAATCTGACGCTAGTAAACTGAATGCACTGTTTTGCATTAACACTCTCGGGACAGGGCACTTCTGTCCCTGCCAGAATTTTTGCCCTGAAGCCAGGACTGCATTTTCACAACTCAAGCTGAAGCCTCTGTAAAAATACAAGGTGGGGGAACTCCTCGCAATGGGATTAACGGGGATGGTTTTATCACTCCAAGAAAGCGGTTTGAAAATACACGCCATGCGGTCTGAGTGGGCACATGCACCGGTGAAAACATACGCTCTTTAGGAAGCCGTGGAGATGACTTCGGCAGCGAGCAGGCAGGGAACGGTAGGCGACACCGAGCCTTACGGCTACAAACATCGGCAGTGTCGCGAGCATCTTTTTAAACTTTTCTCCAGCGGATCCCAGAGGACTTTCTGAAAAGGCGTGAAGCCGCCGAGCGCTCCCGGGGAACCCAGCGGGCGGCTAAACGCGACCCCTGCCGCCCCGAGGCAGGCAAGGAGGGAGGGAAGGAGACCGTGGGGCGGCAGGAGGGACCCCGAGGGGCCCCGACGGGGCAGGAGGGGCCGCGGGGAGCCGGGGACCCGCCCGGCTCCTACCTGGTAGGCGTCGGGGATGTTGACGGTCTCTCCGTGCTCCGCCACGTAGCCGATGATGCCCTTGCCCCAGGGCACCTGCACCTCGTTGCTGTTCTCGGTGGAGCCGCAGGGCAGCAGCGGGGTGCCGGCGTGCACGTCGAAGAACTTGGAGACCAGGCTCTTCTTGCCGGCGGCCGCCCCCTCCACGAGGAAGAGGGACCCCCGGTCGGCGTCCACCATGAGGCAGACGAAGATGAGGATCTTGTAGCTGAGGCTGGTGAGGTCCAGGTCGTTGGAGATGTCCTTGACCAGCTCCAGGAAGAACTGCCGCTCGTTGTGCTCCTTGAGGTAGCGCTTGTAGTCCAGGGCGGGCGGGGGGTACTGGGGCAGGCTGACGCGGGACTCGAGCAGGGCGCTGAGGATGTGCGCGGTGGTGGGGGGCAAGGAGCTGGCCTTCCGCAGCAGGGCCCGCCGCCGCACGCTGCTCAGCGGCTCCTGCGCCCGGGCGTGCACATGCTCGTCGTAGGTGAGGTTGACGTGGATGGCCTTGGAGCGGGCGAAGCTCTTCCGCAGCTCCTTGTGGGACGCCCGCCGCTGCAGCCCCCCGCCGCCGGGGCCGCCCGCGCTGCCCCAGCCGCCGCCGCCGCCGCCTCCCTGCCGCTCCTCCGACGGGCCGCCCGCGGGCGCCTTGGGCACCGAGTTTCTCCTCTTCAGCCACTTCTCCACCAGCTCCGGGTGCCTGTCGAGGAAACTTTCCACCGCCGCCACGTCGAGGCCGGCGTCCGCCGCCATGGTGCCGGCGGCGGGGGCGGCTCAGGCCATGCCCCGACGGGCGCCCGGGCGCGGGGATGGGAAGGGAAGGGAAGGGGGGATGGAGGGAGGGAGGGACGGAGGCTGCCGGCGAGCGCCGCCCCTGGCTCTTGCCCGGGGGCGAGGGCTCCTCCTCGGGGGCGCGCCTCCTCCTCGCCCCCCTCTTTACTAGTGGTAGTATCGTGCGTATCAGCCTGGGCGCTTCTCCTGCTGCCCGGCTCCCGGCCCTCCGCTTCTGCCCCCTCCGTCCGGGGCCGGCTCCCCGGCGGGCGCTGCCTCCGGAGATGCTCCGGGAGCGGCGGGGCGAAGCCCTCCTGCCAAGTGCTGCCAGCGCTGGCGGCGGCTGCTGCGTAACCCAGCCGGCGGAGCGCCGGGGAGGGAGGCTGGGGAGGGCGGGGGGAGGACGCGGGGGGGCGGCGGGCGGAGGGGGCGACGCGGAGCCCGGCTGCCGAGGGAGGCACCGCGGGGCGAGGCGGGGCTGCACCGGGGGGACACGGAGCGAGGTGGAAAGGGGAGCGGGGGGGGGGAGGCTCCGCAGCTCGTTCGTGAATTCGGGAGCGGGGAACGGGGGGGGGCGAGCTTTTGTCTGCCCACGCGTGTGCGGGGAAGGGGCAGCCTCCCGCGGGGTTGCGGGAGAGGCGGCGCGGGTGCTCCCGTTACAGCGGGTTAATTTATGGCAGCGTTTGCGCCACTTGAGCACTTCAAAGGACGGGCGGAACGAGCGGAGCCCTTGGGGAGAGACCGGCTGAATTCCCCCGCTCGGATCCCGCTCCGTGCGGGGCTGAGTGCCGGGGGGCCGGCAGCGGGGTCCCGCGGGGAAGCCGCCCCCCGTCGGGGCCGGGGGCTCTGCGGCAGCGGCTGCCAGACGGAGAGCGGCCCCATGCACCGAGCAGCCGGAGCGGGGTTATTTTTATGCGCACGTGGAGCACGTTTCAGTGTTAAATCGATGCCTACGCACAGGCGATTGAAAAAAAAACACAACCAACACACCGCGGAGTCATGGATCCTAACACGTGAAAAATGTCTTTCATGCGCTAAGCACAGACTGAATGAAGGCGGCTTCACAGAAATTCATGAATGGGAGCTCGGGCGGCCGGGGAAACGCACGGGCAAACCCGCGATCAGCGGGGATCCCGAGCTGCCGGGGTCCTTGCCCTGCTGCAGCCCCTCCGAGGCAGGAGCAGCGGGGCTGGGGGGCACACGCGTGCCGGGGGGCTCCGTGCGCAGGCACCGCGGCTCGGAGGCTGCTCGGGGAGCGGCGGACAAAGGCGGCCGCCTCCCGCTGCAGCTCGCCGGCTTCGGCCGTCCCCCGGCCCCGCTCCGCGCCCGGCTCCCCCCGCGCAGGGGCGGCTGCAGCAGGCGGCCGCCGCCCCGCTACCGGCCCGCGGCGAGGCGGGGGCGCGCAGGCGCGCCGGGTTGGGGGGCGCCCCCCTCCGAGCACCCCCCGCCGCTGTTTTTTGGGGGAGAAAGAGTGGGGACGCCGCTTGGGGAAACGCCGCCCGCGCAGGGCACCGCCGGCCCCTGCCTGGCCTTTCCTGTGGCATTTGCTTTGTGGCAGCGCTGGCACAGACGCGCCGCTCGCACAAAGAAATAGCTCGAGCTGCCTGGCAGGCACACCTCCGTCTCTCAAGCAAGGCCCTCTGGCAGCTACGTACAGTTGAAATAATTGTGCGTAAATAATTTTTACCATCTCAGTGTAGTGAGGTTTGGCTTGAGTGCTCACACCAGGGTTTTAGTACAAAATGGTTACCGTGCAGCAGTGCTGCACGCAGACACTTGAATCAATTCAGTGTTTCTGTGAGGTTAGGGATAGACAAGCCTTTTCCTTAATTCTTCACACAGTCTTGTGGTGTCTTTAGTTTACTTCTGTATTTATTTTTATTTTTTTATTGTGTGCTTTGATTAAAGCAAAAATCTGCATGTTGGCAATTTCTCAAAAAGAATCAAGACTGCAGGAAATAATGAATGAAGAATACAGACAACAATTTACTGTAATACCTTAATTGTATAGAACTCTGCAACCCCAAATTTGTGTACAAATTATACTCATCTCTTTTAAAGACAAAATGTGACAAATATTATCACGGTGGTTTGCCTGTTCTGTAAACTGAGCAGGCTTCATGCTGTCACTCTAAAACCTGTCACTGAAACACACCTGGCCTGGTGTGCTTTAGTGACTGTAGGAGAGAACCCATGTCTCTGCATCCTGGCACACATCAAAGCATGCCTCCCTTTGCAGGATGAGTACACCAAGCTCACTGTATTCTGGGCTGCAGCTTCATGTGTGGGCCTGGGATAGATGAGCTACAGCTTTTTTGTGGGAGGGACAAAAAACAAATGGATTTTGTTGGCTCCACAATTTCGCTGTGCTGCTGTCGTAGTTCTGCAGGTATGCTGCAGTGAGGTCCGGGCGGTGTGTATTCGATGCGCCTTACGCATGATGCACCCACCTATTATCGGTGTGGATGTGTAACGCCAACTCTGACAGCAAGGCAGGCTTTAGCCAGCCTCACCCGGTCTGCTAAGGCACAAGGCATACAGATGCTCTAAACGAAGGACAAGCAGAGGTGTCAGTGCATTTCTCAGGCAGAGTCTGTTTCTCTGTTGAGAAAGGCAGGGGCACAGCACTCTTCAAAATGCAATTGAGGAAAGCACTTGAGAAAACTTTTGTCATTCAGGCAGGTGCTTTACTTTAATTGTCTAAACAGTCAATAGAACAAGTCCTAACTATTAAATTGAAAGTGGAAGGTATCTTATAGCTAGAGTACAGAAGAAAAGAAAAGCAGGTACTCATTCACTTGTGTCACAGAACTTTTTACCCCACTCTCACTTACTCCCTTAGTTAAAAACAGAATTCACCTCTATGGAGCACTGTAAGGCAACTAGTTAAAACCTGTAGTTGGCAAGCATTGGAACAATACTGGTAAAATGAGTACCTGGGAACAGATACGATTAGTTTTGTAATAATGCTCCCTCCTGTGATCACATAAGGAAACCTTGCTTGAGTGGAGTTTGTTTTAATCATTTAAAAAACATTTGCATAAACAAATAATTAATTACATTGTAAATCCCAATTCAAGTCATAGAGAAGAGATTCAGGAGGAGGTTTTAGGAGGACTGTAATCACCTTCATCAATCCTCCAGTTCGTGAAAATACCTATCACTAATCTCAATTGCTTGAGCTAGTCAGCCCTCATTCATTCTATATGTTTGAGCATATCTTCATATATTAGCATCAAGCGGAGAAAAAAAATCCACATCTCTGCAGAAGACTGGTAGATGATTTTGCTGTTTTAATATTTGAAGGAACACTAACAACACAGTGAACAGGGTTATATTTTAAAAACAAGAAGATATACATATACATACAGTGTTCTTTTAATGTAAGATCATATTCTCCTGTCTATTGCATACAGTACCTTTCTTCCCAGATGGTAATGCTGAGGGCTTTTCTCCAAAAGAAAAACTTAATTTAGTCATCAGTTCTAATACTTAGAGGAGTTTTCCTATTTATGTCGCCACAACCAGATAATAATAGTTTTAGTGAGCGTTTGAATAACTAGTTGCAGAATTGGGCTCCCAGACCTCCGTAGAGAAAAGAACAGTATTTTCCTGTAGTGCAGTCCACAAAGGTCTATGAACTACTAAATGACACAATATAAGTAATGCTCACCTCTCAGTGTTATTTATTAGGATGCAGCATCTTAAAACATACATTTCTTTGGTTTTGCTAAGGCCAGTCCCTAATGAACAATAAACATCAAAATGCTAAAACCGGACATAGCAGCTACTCAAAATTAAAAGCATTTTCACTTTTACTACAGCTGCTGCAGCCATGTTTCATGAAGAAGTTGCTTTTTTCAAGTATGCAATAAGATCAGCTCTTTCATTCTGCTTTTTAATTCCAGCAAAAATCATTTTTGTACCAGGAATGTATTTCTTAGGGTTTTCCAAATACTCCATCAGTGTACTCTCATTCCAGGTAACTCCTGAAAAACAAACAAAAAAAACCACAGTAAACTGCAAGGCTAGCCCAACATCATATGTTTACAACAATTACCAAGGGTCTCAAGTCTAAGGTGTGGTGGTGCTCCTGAACATAACGTACCCACAATCCAAGAGAAATGTGAACGTGAGTGTAGCATAATATAAAATGCACAAGGTATAGATCGTGTTTGAGTCACTTTAAGTAACTCAAATATTTTTTAGCATCATCAGGAGTTGCAAGTTATTGAGCCAATTAGCATAAAACTACTTACTGCTTTTAAAGTATGTATCTTTGTAATTCCAGTATCCAGAAGATACAACTGTCATTTTATTTAACTGTTGAAAATGAGTGTCTGCAGATCAACATTAAATTCATTGTAGTTGTGTTCCACTGAAGGGCATTAGAAAAAGAGTAATCAATGGCAACTTCCTGGAATATCTTCACAGAAGCTAAAAAAGCATTAGTGTTTTCTTCCAGCATGGCTAAATTCTGTCTCTGTCAACTGAAGCCTACTGTTGTGCTGAGACTATCAAAATACCTCATCGTAATGACATGTTCAGTTTTATCTTCTGTCCTCCAAAGTTGACTTTTCCCATTACCTCAAGTGGATTTAGGTATCACTTTGTTAGCTTTCTTTCAAAAATTACTACTAACATCTGTATTATTTGTTTACTAATTTTTCAATGAAAAAACATAATTAACATGTTGAAGTACATGATGTTTTGCACCAAGGAATTACCATTATAAAGTGAATGTCAAAAAATAGCTCCCAGAAATCAAAGAAAATAAAAAGTGAGTAAATTCTACAATACCATAGTAACCAGAAAAAAAAAAAAACAACAAGACTGCATTTGTAATTAATAGCTTGATTCAAATATAATATATATTCAAACAGTATCTATAAAACAACAACCCCTCAAAATTAATACACAGACTTATTTTCCACTTTTTGGTGCTCCATTGCCTTTCAAGACTGACTGTACTAAATACACAAGGCAAGTCATTGCTTACTAGTAGGTGATGGTATTTAGTAAAGCGTTGCTGAATGAAACAACTGCAGCACGCCACAATGCCAGTAGAGGGTAGTGACCAGCAAACAAAATCTAGCAGCATTCTTAAGGAACAGAAATGAAAATCTGCCCATTGACACTACAGAGCTCCGGGAAGCTATATACATTCTGACTTGGCATGCTAAATGTTGCAAGAATTTCTTTTTAATTCAGGGGATGAATAGTTTTGTTTCTGAAACTATAGTTCAGACTCATGTATAGTAATGTAAAGTAGATGGTTGTGAGAGTAACTCAATGTGATTAAGCCTTGGTATCGTACCTCTAATTTTTTCTTTCCCATCTATGTTCTCTCCAGCACTGCACCTCATCCATGTCATCTGTTAGTTTTACCTTTGTTCTTGTTTGCATCTGAGTAAGAAAATCCTGCAGCTTGTCCTGTTCTGCGGCCAAATAAACCCCAAAGATTTGGTCCTGTCTTGTGCTTTCCACTTTTTTCAACTGTGTGGCACTGAGAACATTTCTGAATAAAGATCTTCTTGCCTTTTTCAACATCACCCATTTTGAGCTCTGCCGAAAAAAAAATAATGCACGATGTTATAGAAATGTTTGCTGTTGTTATATTTGTCATCTTCTACAGTTTTAGAGAATATCTTCTTCTTGCACAGTAATAAAAGATAACATGCCTCAAACTAATGAAAATATGACCTGACTTACTTACGGATGTAAGTTTCAATAAGGCTTTGTTAAGGTGCAAAGTTTCTTAACATGATCTGGTTGTTGATGGTCATTATTATTTATTTTTTTAAGTGATCTAACTTACAATTAGAGAAAAGCATCATGAGTTTTTTGCAGCATCTCAGAGGGAGACTGAATTTTCCACTCACATCTTTGGAAGTTATGGTAGCTTTGAGTTACTTCCATGGTAAGAGTAAAGGTCAATGTACTTCTGTCTAGAAGACCTATTTAAAACACAGCAGCACCTCAGGATTTCCCTGTGGGTTACAGTGATACTTAGAATGTCTCCAGAACTGTAGAATTCAACTCCCATCACCTATCCAAAACATCCCTCACTCTGGTCTATCCTCCTGTACCCAGGAAATCTCTTGAAAGCAGGAGGGAAGCTGCCACCACAGTAGAGATGTGAAGATTCACAAGGATTATTCCTGGCTAGAAACCAAACTTCTAGGAGCCCTTCCAGGTGCCTCTAGGAGCACCTCACCCTGACCTCACAGGAAAAAGCCACAGGGAGATGCAAAGCTTAATGTTTTCTAATACAACATATTAATGTAACCATTAATATATTTGATGAATAACCTTAATATTTATTGATTAAATGTTATTTTCTATGATAATTTATGTAGAAGGACTTTTCAAAAATGTTCCCTAATCTGACATCAAAATAACCAAGCATTTGCTTTTCTAGTATAGGAAAATGAAAAGTTGTAATTACTTTCCCTTTACTTAGGAATAAGTTTTGTTAGGATTTATTAAAACGATGCAATTATTTTATAACAATCTGAATATAAGCATGTTTTCAGTTAAACAATACAAAGAGTACTCTTGAGAACCAAATACCGCAATATGCTGAAATTGTGATTTAGACAGGAAAGCATTGTAATGAAAAATTCAGAACTTGTTGAAGAGTGTTTTCACAAATACTTGTTTTAAATATGTTCCCTTACAGATCCTATAAATAACATCTGTAGACAGTATGAATTCAAAATCAGAGGGCTGGACAGGAAAGCTGATAAATTAAAAGAAGAAAAAAAAAAAAAAGCAAAACTGAATGCAAGCAATAACAAACAATGACAAACAAGAGTTTCAATGTGTTATTATACAAGAACTTGGTCTTTACTAGAAGGGACACTTTTGTGCACAAGTATAAAATGTGTTGTAACACCTTTTCCAAACAAATCCAAATAGAAGGAATTAAAAGGATGACTTCAATGTATAAAGGCCTGAAAAATGAAGTCTGGTCATTGTAGATATACCACTTCAGTAATGGGGCACTTGAGAATGCAATCAATAAAACTGCTAAACAATGCAATCAGAGGCAAGCTATCTGTAGTCTAATAAAGCAAGTATGGAACAATGTTTGCTGTATCCAAGACAACTTAGTATTGTATTGATGATGAGATGCCAATTGGGAAATGTTCAAACACAGTATTCAAAGACATATAATCAACCTGATCAAACAATGACAGAAATTCACTGCAGTACAGATACAATGATCAGCCAATTAACAATCACTCAACAGATGCATGTTAGACAATGTTAACTAAACCAACAATGTGTAATAAATAGCTAATATAAAGTGATTAATTATATATAAAAGGGAGCTGTCGATTCTTTGTATTTGCCCAAGAAGATATTCATGCTTCACACTGCACTTGACTTACAGAACAATGTTAGGTTTACTTTTTAGCATTCAGTTCTAACTTTTAAAAAATTTAATAGTCTACACAATATATTCAAAAACAGCCTTCATCAACCACTACAGGGTTTTGACATTTATTCTAGTAAGTTAGCCTTTTAAAAAATCTCTTCTGGGGTGAATGTTTCTTTCTGAAAAAAAAAGTACTGGACAGAAGCTCAGAGAACCTGAGCTTTATATGCAGTTTTGGTCAGGTACTATGTTGCAGAGATGGAAACTGACATACTATTACTCATATGTCAGTTTCCATCTCTGCAAAAGCAATCTGGACCTTTAGAAAGCTATTTGAGATCTAGATAAAGAACAGAACTATTTAAGAACCAGCACGGTCCGGTCCGTATCACAGGAGACCCTTCCTTTCCTCATTTTTCTAGAATAGTTACCGATGATAACCATGCTGTGCATTAGAATCGCTGAAGTGCAAACAAAAGCAGTTTTCCTCATCCATTCATAAAACAGCAGCTAGAATTCACTTGATAGAACTGCTGGTGGTGAACAGGCACTGATTATCTAGAAACACTGAAGTGTTTTATTTTAGGTTGGTTGTGTTTTTCTTCCGCATGCAGTCTGCAGGGTTGACTAGCAGATAAAGCAGTGCTTCAGCACGCAGTGTGAACCAGCCAGGAACTGGCATAGTTAAGGAAACAACACAGAATTCCACAGCCTGTTTGCAGAAGTTTTTCACATAACCAGGGGAAAAAAAAAAAAAAAAAAAAAAAAGGCTGTGTTTTTACTCATAAAAAGTCAAATTGCATCAGCCACATAGGCCAGGGTGAGCAGTTACACTGGATCCAAACTCCACGTCCAAACTCCACGTCACTCGAAGCGAGGCCGCGCCAGGGAGGGCAGAAGCCTCAGTGGGACAACAGCACAGCACAGAACTAGCCACAGCCAGCCACAGGATCGTGCTTCCCTACTTCAGTTACTATGCACGAATCACCCTTTAAAAAAATAAAAATAAATTCGATGTACAATTAGAAAGGGAAGTGCCCAGTGCGCTATTACAGCCCATGGACTGTGCTTCTTCTAGTGCCTTATCAAGAATGAGGAAGAAAATTTTTTCATTATCCCCAAACAGGTTTTTAAGTTATCCCCAAACAGGTTTTCAACTTGAAACTTCAGAAAAAATAAAAAAGAAGAGTTGTGCTCAGGCCGCGTCCCTTCAGAGACCCCCTCTTACTCTGTCGCCTGCCAGCCGCCCAGCGCCCAAGGGCCGCAGGCCGCCCCCGGCAGCCGCCTCTCCCGCTTGTTCTGGCGGGAGCGGGCAGGGGTGGGCGTCGCGCGATATGGCAACGGTCCCAACGCTCCCAACGGTCCCAACGGCAGGGCTGGGGCTGCCCCCGGGCTCCGCAGCAGGCAGCAGCAGGCTGGGGCCGGCCGGCAGCCGGAGGCCCCGTGTGCGGCAAGGCAGAGGGCTGGGAGCCGCCAGCAAATGGCGTCCTCGGGTCACTGCCACGACCTGGTGGACGCTGAAACTGACCATGAGCCAGTGCCCTGGCTGTGGAGAAAGTGGATGGCACCTTGGGCTGCGCTGGGAGAAGGGTGACTGCAGGACGAGGGAGGGGTCCTGCCTCGGAGCGCCTGCACTGCTGCGCCCAGGTCGGGGCTCCCCGGGGAGCGGGAGACATGGAGCGGCTGGAGGGAGTCCGGGAAGGGCTACGGAGATGGTTATGGGACAGGGGCACGTCTGAGAGCAGCTGGGGCTGATCAGCCTGGAGAAGGCTGCCTCGGGACTTTTATATGTATTATATATAATATAATATAAATAATATATATATATATATATTATTTAATGTAATATATATATTTGATATCATATATTTATATTTTTTTACTTTATATATATTATGTGTTATAAATTCGCTCAGTCCTAAAATAGGATTATAATCAAAGTTTACAATTTATTAAAAGAATAGAGGTAAGCAAACAGCGCAGGGTGCGTCGCGAGTCTCCGCTCCACCTAGACACACACCAGTTACCTCAAGTAGCTGATTTTTATGCTCCTAGGCTAATACATATTCATTACTACTTTTTTAAAAAAACGGGTTATTATAATTAGCTTCTGGGATCCAAACCCTCCTACTGGAGCATGCTCATCAGTCTCTGGTGGTCCCCCTAGGGGTCTCTGGGGGTCTTTCATGCTGAAGGCTCGTAGTCTTCCTCTCATTTTTTTTTTTCTTGTCCTTCCCCTTTGTACTCCTTGGCAGCATGTCAAAAGCTTACACAGCGTCCCCTGCAAGTTTTGTCTTCCAGCCGTCCTTCAGCTTCTTTCTTTCTTCTCCTTAATCTCCTGGCCACCTGGCCAGATATCAGGGGCTTGCATAGTGTCCCATTCAGAAGCCGTAACAGTTACTAGTTGTTAGCAGTTGTTCTGAAACCCCCAGACATCAGAGACTTCAAAGAAAGAACATACAAATACAAATAGCTCTCTATTGACACTTCAGGTGTTGTTAAAACATTCCTCACAGGCCATTCACAGGGACACTCCAGTCACATCTATAGCAGTGCTAAATCAACCACAAAGGCAAAAAGGCTGCAACTGTTAGGAATAAGAGTTCGGAATAACAAAAGCAAAATAGGCTCATGGATTTGAGGAATATTTCTGAAGATTTGATAATTTGACTATAATGAGGGGGAGACTGGGACACTGGGAGGAAAGGGAAGAAACCACATCTGTGGAAGAATTAAATTGCCAGTGCAGGACCCAGAGACAGACAGAACTGCTCTCTATTGCCACGAATTGTTAAAATATGCCTTTGCAAGGTACAAGAACTATATACATTAACCATTCTGTTTTTCTTAGACTTGTGGTTATACAAGGGTAAGAGAGAAGGTCACATTCATCATACCATGCGGCCCTAGCACCGTTCCATACTGACACGAATCAGATGAACACATTTCACATTATTTATATATATAAATAATATATATCATAGTATATATGCATTATATATATATATGTATATATTATATAAAAAATCATTTATATATATTATATATAAACTAAATATATATTTATATTTATTTTATGCATATTATTTTTATATATAAATACATTATATATATAATATATATATAATATATATACATTATATATATAAAATATATATATATGTGTGTGTATATATATATATATACACATATATATATATACACACATACATACATACATATATATACATATACATATATATATATGTATGTATGTATGTGTGTATATATATATATGTATGTATGTATGTGTATATATATATATGTCTGAAGGGAAGGTGCCGAGGAGCCAGGCCCTTTTCCATGGCGCCCTGTGACAGGACAAGGGGCAGACACCACAGGCTCGGGTGACCGAGCGCTGGCACGGGCAGCCCGCAGAGGCTGCGGAGCCTCCTCCCTCCTTGGAGACGCTTCAAAGCTGTCGCGATGGCGGCCAGCCTGCCCTAGGCGGCCCGCCTGGACCAGGGCCGCGCACTGTGCCCCCGCAGGCTCCCGCCGACCCCCGCCCCGCGGCGCTGTGCCGCTGTGACACCGCCCCTGCGGCAGCGCCCCCCGGCCGGTGCCGGTGTCGGGGCGGTGCGGGGCGCCGAGCTCCGCCCGCCGGCGGCGGGGCCTGTGCGCCGAGTGGTTCGGGGAGGCGGGCGGAGGACATGTTGTCTCCGCGGCGGAAAGGGCGCTGCGGCCGTTCCCCGCCGGCCCCCGAGAAGCGAGCCCCGGCGGCCCGGGAGCCCGGCGGCGGCGGCGGCGGCGGCGGCGGCGGCGGCCACGCCATGGAGGAGAGCGGCGGCTTTCGGCTGTCGGCCGAGTGCCTGGACGAGCCGCCCAACAGCCGCGTGTTCGTGGTGCTGGGCAAGGACGCCGGGGAGGCGCTGATCCGGGAGCGCTTCTCCCCGTTCGGGGACATCCAGAACATATGGCTGCTGCGGGACAAGCGCACCAACGAGTCCCGCGGCATCGCCTTCATCAAGTTCGCCCGCAGCTCGCAGGCCTGCCGGGCCATGGAGGAGATGCACGGCCGCAGCCTGGTCCCCGACACCAAGCCCATCAAGGTACCGCGCCTCCTCCCCCTCCCTGTTGGCATCGGGGCTGCAGCAGCCACCGCTTCCCTTGCCCGGCCGCCCCCGGCCGCCCTCCCTCCCTCCCTTCCCAGCACGGCGGCAGGAGGGCGGCAGGCCTCAGCCGCCGGGCCCGGGCTTGCCGGCTTCGAGGAGCGGTGGCCTCCACGTACAGAGGTGAAGCCGCCCCGTGGGGCCGCCTGAGGCGGGGGCCGGCCGGGAGCAGCCCCCCCAGCGCCCTCTGCTCTCCTTGTGGGGAAGCGGGCAGCCAGGTGCGAGAGCGAAGCGCCGCTGGGAGCTTAAACCAGGGAGCTTTTAATCGTAGGCACTGGTTTTATTGAAACTTTTTTGTTTGTTTGTTTTTGATCAGTGGCTGGTAGGTTTCAGTCTCTCGAACTGTTTTCATAGTCCCCAGATAAACATAGAATCAGAATGGCTTGGGTTGGAAGGGACCTTAAAGACCCCCTGCCATGGGCACGGGTGTTTCCTACTAGATCATTTTATCCAGGGCCTCATCCATTCTGATCTTGAACGCCTCCAGGTGAACTGCAGGAGCAAAGTTTAACTAATTATTTTTTGTCGTTTTTAAGACTGGTATACCAGGGCTGGCCTGTTGCAGAGATGCATTTGTTGCTACCTCAGATACCCCCTGTATCATTGATAGTGCTGGACAGAGTTTTGCTTTTCCTGACTGTTCTTTGGTATCTCAAGTCAGAACTTCTACTGGCCACTGTCATGCTTGAGAAACCAGTGTGGGTGTACCATAGTTGTAGGTCTCTTGTTGCAGGTGCATCTATGATCAGAGATGTCCTTGTTCACATTAGGAAAGCTGCATCATGTGAAAGATAAATATAAAGATTTGTTTTAAAAACAAACTTGATATGTTACTAAGCCCTTTTTTTCCATTAATTAATGTTTATGTAATTTTCTTGTTAGGTATTTATTGCACAGTCAAGGGCTTCTGGAAGCCACCGAGATGTTGAAGATGAGGAGCTTACACGTATCTTTGTTATGATACCAAAGTCCTATACAGAGGAAGATCTGAGAGAGAAGTTTAAGGTACTAATTTGCTACTATTAGAAAATAATTAGTTAAAAAAAATAAAATAAAAAATATTAGTTATTATTTTAAACTAGCTTTTTTTCTTAATTTATCAGAAGGGCTTTTTCAATTTGTTCTAATTAATGCACTTTTTATTTGTTCTAGACGTATGGAGACATTGAATATTGCAGCATTATTAAAAACAAGACTACTGGAGAAAGTAAAGGGTTGGGCTATGTGAGATACTTAAAACCATCACAAGCTGCCCGAGCAATTGAAGAGTGTGATCGAAGTAAGAATCTTACTGAATTCTTTAAAGTTTCTCACAATGAGTGTGTACCATCATTTGTATACCTTTTAATTTTCAGTGTTGTTTGCAGGCAAATTATTTTGCAAGTAAAAATAATATTACTGTTGTTCACCTGATTACATTCTTGCATTACCAAACTTTGTAAGTAAGATCAGTGAAAAGAGTTTGGAAATGAGTGCAGTGCTTTTCTTACATGAAGTATCATTGGTCTGTAATGTAGCCTCCATACACGGGAGAATCTGATTTTTATGTATCCCTGAGAATTTGTTTTCCAGCTAATACATATTGCTATATTTGACATAAAACTTTATTTGATAATCCTTAGGGATTCTGTTGTGATTACATTTACTTAAGAACAAAATTAGGCTAATTGAAGTTTTAATTTATTTTTTAAACTTAATTCAAGGATTAATCTTTTACAGAAAGTAAGACTTTGCCCCGTTTCATAATCAACAATTGTCATTTACACCCTAGCACCAAATCTTAGCAGCAGCCTTCCGGTCTAGCCTCCTGTTCAGTGTTCACTTAATCACAAATTTTAAGCACCTTGGCATGTAGGTGTGTTTTTTTTTGTTGTTGTTTGCTTGTTTCTGGTTTAAGTAGTATACCTGGTATATCAGAAGTAGTTCTACATGAATGTTTTATGCCTCTGCAGGAATTGTCACAAATATGAGCCTGAGATTGCTTAACTGTTAAATCTTATTTCTTAGTTAGTAATACGTAAATTATTGATAAGCAGAACCTAGATCAGTACAAAACATGAATGAGCAGTTACAGTTCTGTGGCATCTGACTGCCTCTGCAACATCTCTGGGTCCTGCAAAATATCTCAGGATGACTGAGACAGGAAGGGACCTCTGGAGGTCTTGTCTTCCCTGCTGCTTAAGCAGGGCTGCCTAGGGTAGGCTGTAAGGAACCATATCCGGGCAGCTTTGAATATCTCTAAGGATGGAGATGCCACAGCTTTCATGGGTAACTTGTTCCAATGCTTGGTCACCCCTAGAATAAGTAGGCTCTGTTGCACTTAACATGTGAATATGTTTTACGTGGAGTATGTTAACTTTCATGTCATTGATTATGTCAACATTCAAGGGTTACACATTAAAAGATAGCACTTAAATGGGTTTTCTGAATAATATATTGCTAAATACAGTACTTGGAGAATGCAGATCTGATCATGGAAATTTGGGGTACATAGAGGTGTTCTTATATGTGATCGTTTCTTCTAGGCTACCGGGCCATTTTGGCTGAACCTAAAAATAAGTCATCAGAGTCTTTTGAACATGAATACTACAGTAATAACACAAGACAAGAACCAAGAGGAAATGCATTTCCATTTTGTAAGTCACAGCTTTTCATAGTAAAAATGATTTGTAGTCTCAATCGCAATGTAAGAGTGTGGTTTGGTAGAAGGGAGGCTAATGGAGGTTTAGTTTGACTACTAATAGATTGAGTTAGAAAATGAGTCAGGCATTTCATCTCAATATTTTCATGGTTTGCTTTGCTCTTGTTGCCTGATTATTTCAAGACCTGCACTGATGAAATAAACATGTTACCTTTAGTGTTTAATTCACTTAGAATAATTTAAAAAGTTGAATGAAAAATGTTTGAAATGAAGGCTTGCTAGTGCGATGACTTTGGTTTATTTATTTTCATGTTGATTCTTGAGGTGGGCAGCCAGAGTTTTGTAGTTTTGAAAAAAACGAGAGCCGAATTCAGGAGTCAGTCTCCAAACGTCTGTCAGTGGTATCACGACTTCCTTTTGTCCAAGAGCAGCTGTTTGCCCTCTTTGATCTAGTCCCAGGACTAGAGTATTGTGATGTTCAGCGAGATCCTCATACTAATAATGGTAAGTAGAAGTACAAAAAAAAATCTTCACTTTTTTTTTTTTTTTTCCTATGAAGAGAACACCACCTTTTAGTTGTATTTCAGTACATTCAGATTGCAAAATCAAGTAGTTGTGGGAAATAATTAATGGTCTTACGTACCAATGCTGGCTGCTATTACTGATGCATAAGCCCAAAAATTCAGTTTTGTTTGAACACCTGTTTACAGATAACTAACAATAAATATAAATAAGGTTAATAAAATCTCAAGAAGGGCAGAATCAAAACCGTGAGAATTAACTTTTTGGTCAAGTGAAGTTAATAGTTTGGGGTATAATAGAAGACGAAAATTTTTGAAAATTAAACATCTATCTTGAATGTTCTGCAAACAGATAATTTGAGTTTTCATCTTGAAATAACTGTGTGTATTTGTCTGAGAGCAGATATGAGTAAACAGGATGAAATAGTTCCAAACAAAATTTGTTTTGTATCAGAAGGATTGTTTTTGTTTCAGTCTTGTTGTTTTGCTATAGGTGAGTAAAGCATGAGAGTGAAGCTTGAAATGGAAACAATTCAGAGTGTTATGTTGTAACTTTACAGTACTTGAGATTCATTTGTTTATGGAATAATTGCATTTTAAGCTGAAATATGTAACTTTTTCTTCTAGTTTTGTCTTGGAGAAGAAGACATGTTTTGTTATGTTGCTTTATTACTAGATTTTCAAATTAATACGAATAAAGGTGATTTGTCACTAGTTAATTTCACAGAAGTTCTATTCCCAAACACTAATGTTGCTAGTAAGGAATGTACTGTTTGGTAAAGAGACCTAGGAATTTTGTAGCATCAATGACAGACTAATGTGTAGCTTGATCCTACTGCTTGCTTTAAGTGAGTGTAGTTTGTTAGGATGTACTTGTATTGTGCTTAAACCATGTGCACTGTATTTGTAGGGTACGCTGTGATTCAGTACAGTACTGCAGCATCAGCTATATATGCCAAGTATAAACTACATGGTTTTGAGTATCCTCCTGGAAACCGATTAACTGTCATTTTTCTGGAAGATGGGAACGATAGTTCAGAGTAAGTACTAATACATAGAGAAGCATGTAACCTGTTTTCTAGAGAGCAAAACTATTATTACTCTTATTTAAATATGAAAAGGAAGAGCCATGTCACTAATCTAGTTTCGTATTTGGACGTAATATTTTCTGAAATCTAGGTGTGTTTTTTTTTTTTAAATAGTTTAGAATGAATCTCTTGACACTTCTTAGCCTGGTAGAAAAAGAAAACCTCATCTAAAACCTCATCTGGCCTTGTTACACAACACGGGGACCCTTACAAAGATTCTCAATAAATTCAAGTTTTTCTAACATACCCTAGAAATATGTATTTTAGTCTTTTTCTATTTAAAAACACGTATCACCTACTTGATCTCTTGGCAGTGTTAGCAATATACAAACACTGCCAATAGATCATGTAGGTAGAATAAAACTGTTATAGCTGAGGCTCTGATACCTGCATTGTATGAGGATTGTCAGGTTTTACTTTAAATCATCTCTTGTTTGTTCCTGTGATTCAAATGCTCATTAGAAATTGGCATGGCTTAGGTGCATTCCAGTATTGAAAACTTCGGCTTAGTTTCATCCTAAATGAATCTAGTTTGTCATCAAAGCTATTCCGGGATATGAATGAAAAGACTGTACGGAGGGACAACTTGGAGATACACTTCAGAAGTGCATGCCTGCTTTAAACTAAAATAATTCATTGTAACCATGCTTCTTGCAAATGTTTTTCTTTACTCTTTGGTACTTCCTATTATATCATGGTCTTGTAGCAATGGGCTACAAAGATGGTGAAGTGCTTAGAAGGGAAGATGTATGAGGAACGGCTGAGGTAACTTGGCCTGTTCATCCTGGAAAAGAAGAGGCTAAGGGGAGACCTCCATCGCAGCCTACAGCTTCCTTACAAGAGGGAGTGGAAGGGCAGGTTCTGATCTGTTCTCTTTAGTGACCAGCGATAGGATGCGAGGGAATGGTGTCAAACTGAGGCAGGGGAGGTTTAGGCTAGACATCAAGAAGCGGTTCTTCACTGAGAGGGTTGTTGCGCACTGGAACAGGCTCCCCGGGGAAGTAGTCATCGCACCAAGCCTGCTGGAGTTTAAGAAGTATTTGGACTGTCTGGACAGTCATGTGGTCTGAATTTTTGGATAGACCTGTGTGGTGCCAGGAGTTGGGTTCGATGATCCTTATGGGTCCCTTCCAGCTCGGGATATTCTATGATAGGCTATGAATTCATGCAAATGTGCAATTGCTTTTCTTATTCCCCAACAGAACAAAGGAAAAAATACTGGAGAATGACAGCTGGAAATGAACTTCCTGTGATTAATGTTCTGGTTTCTGAATTGTTTTTCTGTGCTCTTTATTGAAAGAAACAGGTGAAATTTGTCCCTTTGTTCATCTAGGCACCCTTCACAAAAAGTTGTGGGCTCTGTAGTTAGTTTTCTTTTTTACGATAGTACTGGAAAAAGTAGAGGAAAGTTTTGTATCTCTGTATGTAGAAATACAAGTGTTGTCAGTGAGTTCCAGGTAGTGTATGTACTTTCAGATCATGCTTAGTATGAAAGCCTGACTTTTTCATTATCTACTTGAGTTTACAGATATTTTTTTTTTCAAATTTTAATGGACATCTTAAAAAAAAATCTTTTTCTCTTGCTGAAGTTAACTGTTACTTAGCTCTTTATCTAAAGTAGTTTATTATCACTTCTTGCAGCCTCATCAGAAAAATGGCAACACAACTGGTAACAGCACACGTGTCCTCAGTGTTGCGGAATAACAATCCAATTGTTCAGCAGTATAGGACACCTCCTGTAAGTTAATATAATGGATACTGTTAATATCTGGAGTTTTTAAAGATAATAAGAGTATGTCAGTACAGAACGTAGCTCACTGCTTTAGATACTACATCTTTAAAAGAGATACCTCTGGTTGGTTTGTGTATTTCTGTTTTCTTTAAATGTCTGGCTTTATTTGTATTTGTTTTCCAATTTAACAAAATAACCAAAATAAATGGACTAAGATTAGAATTAGCTGTTAGAGTCTATCTATGCCCAGTGGTAAGAACAAAAATTGTAAACTGAATAACAAAGTGTCAGTTTTTATCAATTATTTTATGTTTGTGTTTTTTCTTTTCTTCCTGTCTCAGCAGGCTTTTGGAGGAAACTCTGGATCACAATTACTTCAACCACAAACTGATGCCATACTTCCACCACACAAAAAAAAAGTTCCACCTGACACTTCTGTAAAAGAAAGGCTTTTCATACTTTTTCATCCCCATCCTTTACCTGTGAATGTATTGGAGGATGTTTTCTGGTAAGGCCCATAAGCAAATAAGTGTTTTCTAACCATGAGATATTTAAAATAAATCCTGAAAATAAAAAAGGTTGCTGTCAGGGAAACTCTTTTCAGAAAAGAACATGCACAGCAAAAGCAAGTGATAAATAACTAATAGCTTTTGAAACAGGCGTGTAATGGAATTTGTCTGGAAACAGATTGTAACATTACCAGTGCAACTGGCTAATTAATGATTTATGTAATCAGAAAGAGAATGTCTAGTTTCATAACATTTATAAACAAATTTTAGTTTTAATTTAAAAAAAATTGGGGGGGTTTTAAAGCAGGGTGGCACAAAACTATATTCTCGTATGTATGCTATGTTGAATTCACAACTACGAAATCACATATAGTTGAGATTGGATAATAAGTATCAGTGCTGCAGCAAAACCTCTGACCTAACTATCTTTCTTACTACTTTTTCAGTCGTTTTGGCCACTTGATAAAAGTTTACCTTGTGTCTGGAAAAAATGTGGGCTATGCGAAATTTGCAGACAGAGCAAGTGCCAGTGATGCCATAACTGCGTTACACGGCAAGATTGTGAATGGTGTCAGGCTTAAAGTAAGGTTGGCAGACTCGCCTACGGAGGAATCTAACAAACGTCAGAGAACTTACTAAGTAGGTGAGTACCCACTCTGAGCTGTTACTTAAGTTCAAGTTAATCTATGTGAGATAGAGGCAAAGCATTTTCAAGTTAGTTGTGCATGTCATGTTAATTTGAAATTTATAGTTTAGTTGTTAGCTAGAAATATATATGCGCACACAAATTATATCTAATATATATGGCTGTGTGTATGCTTATGTATACACACTTATTTTAGTAAAGAAATCTTTATTTTTGTAACATTTGAACAAATACAAACCAGTTGATTAATAGAAATAATTTTATATACATAAAGTGAGTATCAGATCTTACTGAAAAGAGAATTGAAAAATAAACAATATAAACAAAGATCAGCTTGTACGTGTCTTTCTTTCACTACAAACATATGCCCCGAGAATGGTGTTGGATAAGGGTACAGAGTTTAACCTTGAAAGACAGATGAAGGAAGGGATAAATAAAGCGGACATGTGAAGAACAGGGAATGTTGTCAGGTGAAACCAAAGGCCTTGACTTGGTTAATCTGGACGCTCAGAAATTGGGTGTAGCTGGAATGTGTTATGGTGAAGAAGATACCGTGGAGCCTGTTGTGGTGGGGTTGAGGTGTATGTTTAAGTTAATTAGTTCGAATGTTTTATGTTTATGTCCAATAAAAACTGGCAAAGCTCATATAGAGAGGTTTTATAGACTTCGGGAGCCAAAATTCACTTGTTCTTTTAAAATACTGACTTGAATTAAATTATAAAAATCTATATAAATTTTACATATATTTTTTTATACTCAGGCCTCTACTGGAATAGGACTATAGTCCCAGATAATTTCAGTAGCTATATTATTAGTGTAGTGTGATACAAGTTTCCACCCCCCTTGACCCAGTCAAAAAACATTACTTAAAATCTTAACTCTCTTCACATGAATATTTTACTTGATTTCATTCCTTGTACCTGTCTTTATGTAGATACTTCCTATGATCAAGGAGTTATAAAGACCAAGAGCAACTTTACCCGCAGTGTTCTTCTCCCTTTTTTTCCTAAGGACTTCTATGTTCTTCTTTTGTTAAGCAGAAGTTATTAAAAGCCTTCCTAGTCTTTATATACAACTTACTTGAAAACAAACATTTTTTGCTTTCTTTCTGCATGCAATTGGTGCTAACACTCTTTAGAAATTTTTTTTTTTTTTTTTAAATCGGTAGCTCTGGTGAATGTAACTTCAAGTAATTTTTACCCATGCTTTTATCTACCCAATTTTTGTTATTAAAGGTACTTTTTTAAACTTCCAATAATAGAGGACCAACCTCTTTGTCACTAGTGGAAAAATGATGATGTAAAGTATAATGAAATACCAGGTCTGTCTTCATAGTAGGAAAAGACTACTTTTTACTAGAAAAGTAAATAATACACATCCAAAGTTAGTAAGAGAATCTGTACTTGTATCTTCTCACTCATCTTTTTCTTTCATTTTTTGATTGTCAAGCTAGAAGTGATTTTTTCCCCCCAAATTGCTTATCTAGCCATCTTTTAGAAATAAAGCTTTTATTCTTCTGCTCTTTTGTAATACACCTCAGGAAAATACTAATTTCTCCAAAACTGGTAACAGGCTACAGTCATGTCCTGAGTGAGGATGATGTTGCATATGAATTGCAAGATTTTCTTTCTAGAAATGGAGTGACTCCGAAAGGTATTAGAGCTTACAGATAATTAACTATTCCCTTTGTAATGAAGTAAGTGGAAGAGTTGAGAATTCTTGGGTTTATTGAGGAATTCCTGAATGTAATATGAGGGAATATTGGCACTGGAGAGAAAGTATTACTGTCCATACTGGAAGGGTTGTCTAACAGTCTGAAGGATGCTAAGATGACAGAAAAATTATTCAATTATTCAGAGACAAAAAACTGAGTTCAGAACTTTGGAAACTGAAGAGATGGCTTAAACTTCATCTATAAATATGCTTAAGTAAGCAAAGAGTTCAGTGGGTCTTTTTTTTTTTTTTTTTTTACTAAACAAAGGCTAGTTTAGGATCCTAAAACTGTAGGATCCTATGGTAGGAAGCTGATGCCAGGCATATTCACAAGGTAGACATAACAAATAAGCTTTTTAAGATGATAATTACCAATTTGATGACTTTACATTGGAAGAATAATGTGTTTTGCAAGGCACAGATAAGTTAAGATTGTATCTTGATTCCAGACTAAGACTTTTTTTTTTTTTTCCTATGGCTTGAGATATTTAAGAAATTAAACTGAATGTGTGATAGTGCTTTCTGTTTTAATATTTCAAAAACGTGTATTATGGCGCTCTAAGATGTAGTATGAACAACTGGGAATGTCATAGATGATGCCATAGATGCCATAGAGAATATACGCAGATGGGATAAGCAGAAGAGCAGGTATAGGAGGGAAGGTATTGGTTAGCATACCAAAACAGAAGACTTCCATTGACTGCAGAAACTACTTTTTCTATTACACTAATGCGAAAAAATCGGGAGAGGATTAGCCTTATGTGTCTGTTTAGATTTTTTTTCTTTGTTATTAAAATTGTCTTTTTTACCTTCTAATTTTCATAATACCACTAACATCAAAAGAGTGGAAAAAATGATTGTGTTGGACTTCCAAATTCACAGTAAGGATTTGGGTACTGGTAGCGGTTACTGAGATATCTAAAAGGAATATTTGCTAATATTTTAGAAATGTTTTTCCATTATAGCAAGAACTTTAGAAGTTACCCTGTGTGCACCCATACATACATTTTTCCATAGTGACTTTTGAGAAGTTTGAAAGTCCTGCATCACTGATTTGATTTGCATTTTTTGTGTGTTAGGGCTTTATTAAAAGCACCAAGTTTAATATGTATTTATAATGATTTATTACTGTGCAGAAATACTCTTAAATAGCAGTTGTATCATCATTGAAATAGATATTAAAAATAATATATATATTTTAAAAATAACTTTATTATCAACAGTGTACTGCAGAAAAATTCTGGCTTTCACACGCTGCTCAGAAAAAGAGGTACTTCTCTAAAAGATAAAGAAGCACATATATGATAATATGATTCTCCAAATATGTTAATTTTTCTTTCACTTATGTTATTGTAACAATTATGTTTTAAAACACAAATAGGTATGTTGCTTTTTGATACTATTTTTATACTTGTGTTTTTTTCTACAGAAACTAAATAATGACATGACCCTCAGATGACTGACTGACTGACTGAAAACGTGACTAGACATGGTTCCTGTGGACAGTGACTCCTTTTTTGTTAAGAAAATTGATCTTTATATATTTACACATGGTACTTTGTTTTCAAAAACATAGCCATGCACCTATTTAAAAACAAACAAAAAAACCCTATTAAGCCATCTAAAATTGTATGTTGATGGTTGTTCTTGTAGTAGCCTGTCATCCTGTATTATGGAAATATATCTCTTGTGCTTAACTGAGTTCCTTCTCTAACAGGGAAAGTACAATGATGGGAGGGGGGATAAAGGAGTCAGCATTTTGGGGCTTGACTTGATAATGATTCAGATTATGACTGCTAAAATAGAAGGCACTTCCAGTGGCCAGAATTTCATTGAAGTACATCAGTAAATTAAAATTAAATAACTTTCAAAATGTACTAGCAAGTCTATCAGTATTAAGTCAAATTCAAGAGAACAGCTGTACTCATAAAAATGATTCAAGTATGCTCTTAAATATTTCATTGATTTGGGCCAAAACTATTCATTAAGCTTTATGTGCTGTTTAGTGCAAAGGACATTTGACTATGGGTCAGACTATCAGAGCTGCTTGTGTTGCCCTTTACCATCTTGAGTCACTTTCATTACAACTATGGGGAAAACATGGAGTCCGGGGACTTTTTTTTTCCCATCTTTCATTTTTGAGTGCTTGAGTGCTATTTTTTTTTTTTTTTTTTTTTTTTCAGAATCTTTCAATGAATATGTTGTTTAAGAATCAGATAATCGAACAATTCGGTGTTTTGACAGGACAAAGAGAATTGAGCATTGATGAAGAGTAAACAAACTTAATTTGGATAAGTATTAGCACAGATAACTTTCAAACACCAAATACTTTCCTGTGTACCCTGAGTACTATTTGTTGAATTGAATAAATGCTTGTTATTAAAATAATTCTTACAGATAAAATTGATAAATTCTAGTTGTATGCACACTAGTGTACAAGCATGCTCTCCTGGAAACATGTACCTGGTTTCCAATTTTTCCATTTGCAGTCCCTTGATCATCAAATGGGGGGAGACAAGTGAGCAGCCACAACTTGCTCTCTTTTTGAGCACCTTTGGAAAGATATCCCTCCAAAAATTCCCCAATCCACAGGAAAATAGGTGAGAATGCAGTCCTACTATCTAATATTCCTGGGAAGGCTTTGGCATTTGTTTCTATGCAGCTCTCTGTGCTGCAGAATCATACTACTTTGTTACAGTCTTTGCCTTCTTCATCTTCTTAGGCCCCCTTACTCTTTTCAAGACAACTATTTCTTATTGGGGGAATCTTTGCAGCCTCATTTCTAGTGTTCCAGGCTCTTGACTTTCCCAGTCCTAATGGTCAACGTGCAGGAGCACAATGCCTTTTAATTAGTGATTTGTCTCTTGTCTCTTAATTTAAGCTATGCATTTAAGTACAAAAGATGACCTCCTTTTCTTGCATTGTTTACTCTTCAAGGAGAAGGAGGAAATAAGGTTTTGGTATTTTCCAACTGTAAGTAGCTAAGAACTGAGGATGAAACCATTTAAGAATTTTTCTGTGGTGTTTTACAGAGTCAAAAGGCATGCACCCATCAAAGTAACTTGGCGGAGGGAGGGGAGGGGAAGGTAGGGAAGAGGAGCAAGCGGAAGAGCAGAGCTTGATACAATCTTTTTAACTGGAAAACATGCTTACTCAAAACTTACACCTTTACCATTCAGTGCTTCACAGTCAGCTGTCTCAAACTACTTCTGTAATAAAAAAAAAAAACCTAGGCTAGCCTTTCAGCAATGTAATGTGAGTGCACCTACTACTGAATTCATACAATTAGAATAATAGTTACAGGCAGAGTGCAGAACTCTTCTAGCGCTGCGATTATTTTAAAGTATTTAGTGAATTGTTCTCTGATGCAAGATACAGGCACATCAAGCTTTTTTAATAGAGAGGCATTGCTAAGAGTATTTTTACATTAGAGAAGGTAGGTGAGAATGAGCTGCTGTTGCAATGGTTCAGAAGTTTAGATTTGAAGTGGCAGAAGTTGTACTTAATGCAGAACAGCATTATTTCTTAAGCTAAAAGAGTATTAAAATTCAAATGCGCAAGCATTGGGAACTTGCAGAATGAAGGTTGCCTAAGAAAGCTCTCTTGCTCCTCTCCATTCCCCTCATTTCTGTTATGATGCAGTCCTTGATGAATCACCATCAGCTTTTTTCCCCAAGAGCAATTGTTTCATTCAGCACAAAGACTGAAAATGAATTGAGGTTGCATGGTTAAAGGAGACTATAAAATTCCTGCTTAACTTGTTGCACATTTTAGAAATTATATAGTGAACTAAAGTGCTTTATGGTTAAGCCTGGAGAATTGGATCTTATCTTTGACTGTAACACTGAAGTTTGTGAGGATTGTTGCCATTTCTCTGAAGCTCCTCTGGAAAAATCCTGTCTGTCCATCACTGTTTCCCTTTTTCCCCATAAATTTTAGGTAAACCTGGGGCTTTCTTGTGTTTGATTAGGGGAAACAGTTCTGACTAGTGTGCCATAGATCCAAAACTCCAGAATCATCAAGCAGCATCTTTGCAGACTTAACTGTATTGTGTATGTATGCACGCATGTGTGCAGTGAGTCCAATATTTTTAGAAAGCTTTGGTTCTGCTGTGCAAATGTGACAGTCATCCTGCTTGTATAGTGGGTCTGGCATGCTGCTGAGTGTGCATGATGCAGTGTATCTGTATGTCAGGAGTAAGCTAAAACACAGCCTACAAGTGGTGGTATGCTGTGCCAGTGCAAACATCTTTGCAGTGTATGTGTAGGAGATCTGATGGTTTTTCTTTTTTTACAAATCTGAGGCAACTATATGCATCATGCTACACAAGCACTTCAAGTAAACTTTTCCTTTAGGTTCAGGGGACTTGTGTTTGTACTTATTTTCTGTTACTTGAATACAAGGCCTGGACATAAAATGCAGAAGTGTTCGCTCAAAGCAGACAGTTTGGAGCAGAGTTATCTTTGCTCAAGATGGTGCTCTAAAGTATGGGATAATATGGGGCTTGTGATGTAGGTGCCAGGTGAAATACTGAGAGTCTGCACAGTCAATTGGGGAGGGGAAAAAAAAACAAACAACAAAACAAGCAAAAAAAACTGTTAATTTGTGTCCTCTAATTGCCCTTTTTGTCCTATGTCAGGATCTGGAGTTTTAATGTGACCCTGAAGTTGCCTGTTTGTTTAGGTGATATTAACAGTCCCTGGCAGTGTCAGTGCTCTGAAAAACCTTAAGTGATGGGTGTCTGAGTTTGCCCATCTAAGATGTGAAAGAAGAATCAACTGAATGACTTGAACAGCTACTCAGGAGAGCATTAGTTAGATGTACTGGTCTTCCCCAGCTAAATGCTAGTTTGTGTTAGTTGCTTTAAACTCACACAACAATTCTGGTTGGATGTGGTGTTCATCCCACCACTTAAATTGTACTATAGCACTACAGCTAAGTAGCTGTCACACTGCTTTTCCAGGTCTTTTCATGAGCAAGTACTAACGCTGTCTGCTCTGGGGAGGAGCATTAGGTTCCTGTACTGGGGGAGAAAAAAATCATCATCTATATTGCTCTTTTTGGTGGCTAGTGAACTGGCAAGAACTGCACAGATTACTCTGTGTGCACGCACATGCTCTGTTGTAGTAATAGCACTTTAATGGTTGTAAGTAGAATTTCGTATGCTTATCTGTAAGTGATTTGGATTTCAGCTGTGTTCATCAGCTGTAGTTTCTGTTGGCATTGAACAGGGCTTTTGAACCTTCTGAAAATGAGATAATACAGACTTCATAAATTATGCTAAATAATGTCCCATAGAAATTATTTTATCCATTTAGTGAATCATATCCGCATGGTCAGCAGAACAGCCTTTTGTTAGTGTAACTGTAGAAAGATACTAATTTGCTTATGTTGCCTGAATGTCTACATTAAAGTATTTCTGATCGTTAAGTGCAACGAGGCCATTCTCAAGAGGGCTGTGTATCCAGAATGTGATCTGCAAGTCTGATTGCAATTAGCTGTCCGCAATGGGTCTCGTGGCTCCTAGTTGAGACCTTTTCCTTTAGTGGTACAAGCTGCTACTGGAGTACCTGAAGTGGGGCAGAGCCCAGGCTTGTAATGCACAGTGGAGTTCAGTTTCCCTTGCATGCTTCCTCTCCCTTCCTGTTAATAGTCCATTTTCTGACGCAAGGTATTTCATCTTGTTATATCTGCTCAGTCTACAGAGATATCTAATGTCTGCAATGCCAGGCACCTCCACTCTTCTGATCACTCTATCAATGCATGAGAGACAGGAGGAATAACCATATGGAAGTGGAAGCAGTTGAAGGTGAAAACAGCATGTGATTTTTGTGCAGAGGTCCAGTTCAGGAATTCATGTTCTCAGCATACCATTTTTCTAAACTTTCTATCTGTGTTTATTAAACATATTTGACAAAGATTCTGTGGGAGTTCTTCACAGAATGTGATATTTGAACTGCAGGTGCACTGCTAAGCTTTTCTCCAGAACAAACTGGAGACCTTACAAATAAATGAAGGAGGGTCAAAGTTCATTGACAGTCATTGTAGCAAAGGCACAAAGGGTGATCCTGGAGCCTACAGTATTGCTAGGTAATCCCCCCTACTCCAGCAGAGGTTACTGGTCTTCTGGATGTATATGTGTAGGATGTAACTCAAAATTGATACTGCTTTTTAAAATATCTAACTTGCTTCTAAGATAATCAATCTGAATATAGAATTAAAAAATGTTGGGATTTATTTTCAGATTGATAGATGATGATTCTCATCTGCAAAAACAATTCAAAATACTGTTCTGGTATTTTGAAGTACTTAAGAGAAGACAGAATCCTAGTTTTTTTTTTCTATCTTTTCCCTGATTTGTTTTTTAACCACTTATTTCTACACAGCCTCTTATTTTTGAAATATAAATAATCTAGTTTTGCTTGCACAGTCCCACTTGTGTAACTTGTTTCTACTTGCTGTTCTAGAGGCTTTTTATAGTTTCACAAGAGCAGAATTAGTCAAATAGTTTTAAAATAACACCAATTATGAAAATTTTCTAGTGGACACCTGAGAACAACACATACAGAACGCTTCTTTCTACCATTACTTGACATTTTTGTCATTTTTCAGTAACAGGTTGAGTGAGAGAATGAGCAGGAACTAGGAAGAGAACCAGAAGAAAGAGACAGAATATGGAGGGAAAAAAAAAAAAAGATAATTAAAAAATGGGTTTCTGATTTTGAGGCAACAAAATAGAAAATAGTTGAAGAGGTAAGGCATGGAGGGTTTCCAGGGGAAAGTCAAATCTGATACTGGGAAAATTAGGATAATATAAACTACTTCTGTCATGAGACAGACAAGATAGAACTGTGGTGATCTGGAAGCCATTCGCTACCAGGTGTTGGGTTTAAGGACTGGAAGTCTTTTGGGTGGCTGTCTCTCGTGAATGAACCACATAAGCTCATAAGTTGATTTGTAGTAGCTTTATTTTTTTTTGTCTTACCTTACTTTTAAAATACACAGCATGAGAGCTGTACTCACCATGTCATGCACCATGTATTTTCATATGCACATAATACCACCGCACAAAGATTACTTTTAAAGCTGTATCTGTTATTCCAAAACATGTGCTTTCTCTTGAGCCTTTTTATCTTGTTGGGTAACCTCATTCTTTGCCTGTGTGGTGCTTCTGTTCCTTCTTGCATTCACAGCCCGCCCTGTGGCTGTAGTTGCTTTAAGTTCATTGAAAAGCTTGCAGCACAAATTCACATCAGGCAGCTCATCCACAGCCTGTACTTTTGGCAGGAACAAATACAACAACAGCAGCTTGAGTTAGGCAGGATCAGGCCTCCTGGGGCCAGACTGATTCTGTACTGCACATGAAACAGTAAAGGTGTTTCCAGACAGCTCTGCCAGCTGAAATTGTGGAAGATAAAAATGAAACAGCTCTGTGCTGGGTGGCTGTAAGAGCAGTGCTCACCTGTGCACTCTGCTTGGTTACAAATCCTTTGTAGGAAGCTGAAAGAAGCAGCTGCTTGTAGGGATGATGGCCTTCATGGCCTTGGGGCCTTATAAACACCATAAATCACAGCTTTTAAATAACTTTTCAGTACTGTACAATCCCTGTATCTCAGAGCTCAAATCCACAGCCCTACCACCCATGCGTGGCACTGCCAGATTTTCTCTTGAATAGAAACAGCTAAACTGAAGGGTAAAAAGTTACACAGTTTACACATATGACTGTAAACCAGATAACTTTCCTATATTTGTGTCTCCATTAAAATGGAAGCGGGAGCTTTACATTGATGAAGACTTAAAAACAAACAAACAAACCTGAAATGCCATAAACAAATAACGGAAGGTGTTAAGAGACAAAATGGCATAGCACAGATTGTAGTCTGCTACCAGTAGTACTGTAAAATTCTGATAAATACTGCTTCTAGATGTAGAAACTTTTAATGATTGCTCTGAAAACAGAAAAGTCAATGAGGAGAAAAAAAAATAATAATGGAAACAGTGCAATTTGTGGTTAAGGGGAAAAAAACAGTTTTAAAGGAATGGGAGAGTTTAGACCTTCTCATGCTGGCTAGTAATATGGTTACAAAATTGAAATATATTGTCTCTTTTAAAGTTGTACTATTTAGCCCTTCTCTTTGGCAATTCAAATTGATTTTCAAGAAACGTAATTACATTTTGATATTAAAATTGAGCTTAAAAATCCTAATTGTGAAGAGTTTATTTAATAAATTCTAAACAGAAAATCAATGACATATGTGACACATAATGAAGATACAGCTTATAAGAAATGCAATTTACTTATTACAATAATGCTTTACATGGCAATCTGAGTATTAGCTCATATTGGGCCCTATCACTGGTTGCAAAAGAAGGGAACCTGCTCTATTCTTGCTGTACAACAAGGCTTTTAGCTCAGGGAACAAAGCTAAACAATGGTTTCATTCAAAGCATGTTTATAGCTGGAATCTTCTGAGATTTTTGTCTGTCAAAATTGGGTAGAATACATATACCCTAAAGCAATCCTCTCTCATGGATCCATGTAGGTTGGAAGTTCCTGAGCTAAAATCTATCGTGGGTCACGTGGTAGCTGAGGTACCTCTTTCTATGTAGTAGTTAGTCAGGAAGAATGCAGCAGGTACTCACACTGATTTGATTGCAAGTGATTACCAAGTCAATAGGATGTTTGTTATCTGATTGTTGTTGATGCGTGTGGTTCTTGGCAATTTTTCACATAATAGCCCCATCACTTCCTTTTAACACCTCTGAAATGCTAAATAGAGGATGAAAGAAAATCTTGGCATGCAAACCTGGTGCAGCATATTGACATACTACCTTAATGGAGGAGTAAATCAACATAGCGTGATCTCAAAGTCAAATTCAGCCAGCAGAAAATTCTCATGAAAACTTATTAGACATAGGCAAGGAATTAAGAGTAACATTAACAGGGGAATATATTTGAAATGGTGAATGAGCCATTATGATACTTTTTTATAAGTTGCTTCCTTTGTACTCTAGGGTAAATTGGTCTGCAATAAGGTAGTAGATATAAGGTAATAGATATTGATGTGAGGCTATTGTCATCTACTTTAGCACCATGCATCTGGCTACTCAATTCTCTTACTGTGACGTTTTTTCTTTAAAGTCTACAGACTTGGGCTTAGGAAGAAATCTACGAATTTCACTTCTTAGCTGAGTTGTTAGCTCCTATCTTGCATAATGGCATAACGACCCCAGCGTTTCTTGGGGTCTGTTTCCTTGGCACACCAGACAATATAAGAAACACAGATCTATTTATTTTTGCATAGGCTATTTGCGGCAATTTCAAGATGCCTTAGATTAGGTTCTCAGCTTTCCTGAG